TAAATGTACCTAAAAGTGAGAATTTTTTTTCAATTATAATTTATTTCGATTCTATATTTCTCCTAGAACTTAATGGCAAAAAGAATTGTTAAATAACATTACCCAAACATTTTATAAAATTAAAAAACTAAAAACATTCACATTTTATGCTGTCAATAAAGTGTTTTTACAGCTACGGTAAATTGTTTTGCCGTTCTCTTTTGGGTGATCCCGTTAGATTTGGGCCCATGCGTTTTGGCTTCTCTTGTGTCTTCGACTTTTCTTGTCATTTTCTATTGCAATTTATAACGTTTTGCTTTAATTTTATGAAAAATAAAATGCCAGGAAAAAGAACAACTTTTGAAGTCGCTCAGCTGGTGTATTATAACCATCAGATGGGACGTCAAGTCTCGGAACTGGCTGATATGTTTAATTTATCAAAAGCAACGATATACAACATATTAAACAGAGCCAATAAGGAAGATAGGCTAGAGGCAAAGCCAGTATGTGGTCGACCCTGCAAAATTTCTGACAGAGATAAGCGAAAAATTCTGAGAAAAATTGAGAAAAATCCACAAATTTCGCTTAGGGATATTGCTCAGGAGTTCAAGGAAGAAAGTGGTGTTGATGTGTTACATGAAACTGTCCGAAAATTACTGAATTCCAATGACTACACATCACGAGTTGCCAGGAAAAAACCTCTACTATCGGCGGCGAATATTTTGAAGCGGCTATCGTTCGCTCAAGTCCATGTAAATAGTTCGAACGATTTTTGGAGTAACGTCATATTCTGTGACGAAAGCAAGATGATGCTATTCTACAACGATGGGCCATCCAGAGTCTGGAGAAAGCCACTAACAGCGTTGGAAAACCGCAATATTATTCCAACCGTTAAATTCGGAAAACTATCAGTGATGGTGTGGGGGTGTATTTCGAGCAAGGGTGTAGGAGATTTGACCTTCATTGAGAATACCATGGATGCTAGACAATATCTGAGCATTTTACAGACACATCTCGTCAGTAGTGCACAGAAATTTGGATTCTATGAGGACAATAAGCCAATTTTTAAATTTTACCAGGACAATGACCCGAAGCATAAAGCTCATATGGTAAGAGTTTGGCTGTTGTACAACTGTGGAAAGGTGTTAGACACTCCACCACAAAGTCCAGATATGAATCCAATAGAAAATGTGTGGTCATATTTGAAAAAAAAAGTCGCAAAGCGGAGTCCAAAATCAAAAACTGATTTAAAAGCTGCTGTACTGGAAGAATGGCAGAAGATTCCAGAAACATACATACAAAACCTTATTGTTTCAATGAAACGGCGATTGCAGGCTGTATGTGACGCTAATGGCAGCCACACAAAGTATTAAAAAAAAATATTCCTGTTTTTTTAACATTGTTATTTAGTAATAAAGTTTCGTGTAAAAACACTTTATTGACAGCATAAAATTTGAATGTTTTTAGTTTTTTAATTTTATAAAATGTTTGGGTAATGTTATTTAACAATTCTTTTTGCCATTAAGTTCTAGGAAAAATATAGAATCGAAATAAATTAGAATTGAAAAAAAATTCTCACTTTTAGGTACATTTATTTTCAACTAAACCCAAAAAATTAGTTTTTTTTTGTTAGTAAAAACACTTTATTGACATACTGTATGTATCACATGCATGTGCATCACATGTATGCATGTATTGCATATTCGGAAAGCTAGCGACATCTAGCGGCAACTGAGGATCGATAAACACTCGAAAAGCTCAAAAGTGAACTGTAACAGTTAGCTCTTTGCTTCAGCTTCGCTCTCTTTACAGCGCATCCTCCCGCGTTAACATTTACAATCTCTGTCTGTCCAATTGCTAATGAAGCGCGTCACGCGCACACTTGCGCTTAGCGACAAGCTTTTAATCTACAGCACGCAGCACCTGCTGTTGTAGTTATTGTTGTTGCCGTTGCTGTTGCTGTGCGTACAAATTGGAATACGCAAAAATTTGTTAAAATTGCGTTTGATTTTGCCTTCTTTTTTTTTTTCATTTTTTTCATTTTTTTTTTGTTGCCAAGTGTCGTGCGTAACACTGCGCGTGTGTGTGTGCGTGTATCAAGTTGAGTCTACGCTTTTGTTTCGACAAACTATTCATGCACACACACACACACACACACACACACACACACACACACACACACACACACACACACACACACACACACACACACATGCATATATACATACATATTTATGTTACGTTTTCAATTATCAACGCTGCCCAACGGCTGCTATCAGCAAAAGGCGGCAACAAAACCAACAACAACCAATTCGTAGCGACTTTCGCACGTTGCGCGTTTTTTTTTTTATCGTCTCACGCGCGCGCGACTTTTTGGCAATCGCACACACACACACATACACATAACGCGTACACATTCATGTCTGTGTCTGTGTATAGAGAAGTCGAACAGCATCAGAGCCAAAAAAAAAAAAAAAATGTTTATTGTGTGGGCGTTTTTCGCTAATAATTGAACACACACACACACACACACACACACACGGAGGCACACAAAACTATTTACACACATGAAATTGGGCAGAGGCAGCGAAATAATATGCGCCTAGTAACAGGCACACACGTAAGTATTATAACTGTATAACTACATAACAGTATTTATTAATAACGTAAGGCATTCAAGCACATTTTAAACCAACTATCGCATAGAGTCATTTGCGCATCTCTATCTAATTACGGTAATCGTGTGTGCCGTTATCGAAAGCAGCTTTTTTTCAATTATTTTCGGCAATGAAATCCTGCTCAAAAAGACTCAAGCCTTGGCCTTCTCTCTCTCTCCCGCTCTCTCTCTGCCTAACTAAAGCGAAGAATATCCCAAAGAGAACATGTCGCACCCTGTATACCCTTTACGACTAGTATTAATAGTGGCCCGCACTTGGCACGCACTTCAACGTTTCTTTATTTACATAAGTACATTGCGCTATCTTTCTTATCATTCATTATTAAATATTAATTGGTTGATATCTCATTTCGCACGGCACACAACATAACTAATGTACGCTGCAAGAGTATTTCATATAAATTGACCAAAGTCGCTGAACGCGACGTCGACGTCGGCGTCGCTGCCGTCTGCAATTGTGAATCTGTCGCTGGCAGTGAGTGCGTCGCGTCATGTTAAACACAAGAAAGAGCGTGCGTGCGTGCGAGCGAGTGAGAGAGCGTGCGTGCGAGCGAGAGTGAAAGACCTACCTGTGCAATTTTGCCGGCGTAGACGCCGAAGCCGACGCGTCAGTTGCTGTTTGACGGCAATCTGAGTGCGCTTGTATGCATGTTTTGTTTTGCTTTTGTTTTCGCGTTTTATTTTATTATTATGACAGATATCACGAAAAAGGTAACAATAATAATAAGTGTGTGTGTGTGGGGTTAAGGGGGTGTGTGGAAGCAGGGGAAGCAATAAGAATTAAGGAACCAGATTTGCGCCCATGCATGCATGCATGCTTTCATGTCTGCGGCTGTAGGTAGGTGCGTGTGTGTGTGTGTGCGTGTGTGTGTGAGTATGTGTGCATCGGACTGCAGTTTGTGAATGAAAAAGCTTTACGCGCCAAATTGTTGTTGCATTTGTGTGCGAGTAAAAGGTAGTAGTAGTAGTAGTTGTAGTAGTAGTAGTAGTAGTTGTAGTAGTAGTAGTAGTAAAATATGTAGATTTCTTACTGCGAGGGCAGCTCAGTATGTTGTCGACTGTTATATATTTGATTCTGACAGCAAATGAAGGGGTAGCAGCAGCAAGGGAGGAGGGGGGAGGGGGTAGGGGGGGGGGGGGGGGGGGCTTTTGAAAAGAGACATTGAACCCATAAACTAAAACCAAAAACCGGCCTGGGTGAGCGGGCGGGCGCAGGGTGTGTCGGTGGCGATGACGCCACGTGGCATGAGCGCAGACATCCTTGAAACATGGGTTGTTGGCCACACAGAAAAAAATAAAAGAGTGAGAGAGAGTGCGAGAGAGAGAGAGAGAGAGAGAGAGAGAGAGTGCGAGCGCGCTCGTTTAAGAGAAATGGCTTTTTGGGCGTAACACAAACTGCGCAAGACGCCGCTTGGGGATGCTTTTCTACAATGTGCGAGAGGATGACGCCATGGGCCAGCGGGCCGAACAGCTCATCAACACACACACACACACACACACACACACACATACATATAGAGAAAGCACATAATGAGCCATGAAAGCCACGCGCCATCACTCGCTGTGGAAAAGGGGGGGAGGGGGGTACCACGACCTAAGGGACTGAGAGAACTGTGGCGCTGTGTAATGCGTAGGCTAGAAGGCGCCAACGAAATATACAAAGAGGGGGGCGGGGTTAGCATTTGCTGCTGGTAAAGGAAAATCAATGAAAGCTTTTTGCCAGACCGAAAAGACAAAAAACAAACATCAAAACGACAACCGGCAAAAGTGCGCTGCCTCTGCCGCTGCCGCTGCTCTCAGCATGTGGGCGTGTGTAATGCGTGCAGCAAAAGTTTACTACGTTTGCTGTTGACGTAGGCGATCGATTTTTAGGCGCGTCATCGTTCGCCCACACATCAGCAGAAGCAGCGGCAGCGCAGCAGCAGCGCAGCGCAGACCAACACTAGTTGAATGTCTGGGCGAGGCAAAGGATGGTGAGATTATAAAGTGTGCGCGCAAGGGAGGAGAATAAAGGGTGGAGGTGAGTTCGCATTACTTAATGCCGTTGATCGACAGACAGACAAGAGCGAGCGAGCGAGCGAGAGAGAGAGGAGAGAGCGCAAGCAATGCAATTGTGAATGCATTGGACGAGTGCCGTTGTATCGATATCTCGCAGAGACTAAAAATAGAAAAAAGCCAATAATAGCTTTTGTCTGTGCTTAGAGTACAAACTACAGTAATATGCACATATAACTGTGCAAGGGCATCTGCATAATTGAGAGTAGATTCAGAGTATTGCACAGTATAACAGTGCACACTTGTATACCAGTAGCAAAGTGTTATAGCTTTCAAGGGTTTTACTCACCAGAATCAGAGGGCGTGTCCAGATTAGTCTCCATCTCGTTGCAGCGCGTATAACTGTGATCGCTTATGTGCCGCATATAGTTGCAATCGATCGAGGCAGCCGAGCCGCAGCTGGAATTACGCATGGAGCAATCGCCATCGTCTGAATCACAATCGGAACTGGTCGCATTCGTTGCCGGCGGCGACAGTGTGACAACTGTTGCTGCTGCTGCTGCTGACGCTGCTGCTGCTGCTGCTGCTGCCGCCTTTGCTGCTGCCGACTGCTCCGATTGCTGATTGAGCACCTCAAGCACATCGCTGAACTGCGGCGCAGTCGAGAGCCGATAAGGCAGATCGATGCGCTCCTTGCTCGTATTCTGCAGCTCCCGGCTGAGATGATCGATGGCATCGGCGCTGCTCGTCAGCGCAATATTGTTGCTGCCCATGACGCAGGCGCGCAGATCCACATTGTGACGGAATTCCGGCAGCATCTCATCATCCGGCAGCACAAAGCAGTTGCTGCTGTTGTTGGCTGTGGCCATATTGATAAGACGTTGCTGCTGCTGTTGTTGCAACAGTTGCTGCTGCTTGTGCTGCGTATTGCTCTTGCGCAGCAGCGAAGTGCCCGGCGGTATATACGGTTCAATGTGGAGCACTCGACTTGGTATCGCAATTGTTGCTGTTGCTGTTGTTGCTGCTGCTGTTGTTGCTGTTGTCGCTTTGACAGTTGACCTGCAACTGTTGCTGTTGAACTTTCTACTGTTGCTGCTGTTGTTGTTGCTGCTGTTCCGCTGGTTCGTTTGCTGCTCCTGCTCCTCCTCCTCCTCCTCTTCCTCTTCCTCCGGTTCGCGTTTAATTAACAGCGTGTTGCCCGTAACAAAGGCTGGCGGCACAGCGCTGCTCTCGCTATAACTGGACGCAGCCGAATTGCTGTTGTTGTTGTTGTTGTTGCTGCTGCTGTTGCTGCTGCTGTTGTTGCTGCTGCTGTTGTTGTTGCTGCTGCTGCTGCTGCTGTGTTTGTTGCTGAGTATGCTGCTGTTGCTGCTGGCGCCAATGCAATTGGCCATGTTGCTGGCGAACACGGACCACATGCAGTCCACATTGCGTATCTCGGGCTTAATGTCCAGATCCCCGAAATCGTCGTGGTGCGAGATGCTCAGCGAGTGCGTCCGATTGGCCGCGATCCGCTCCACATCGTTCTGTATGCTGGGCAGCCTGTCGGCCAGATCATTCAAGTTGGGCATGCCGCAGTCAAGTAGATCATTCAACTCGATGTCGTCAAGGGTGGGGCAATCGTCATAGTCGTAGTCGCAGCCCGTCATAATGCCCCCATTGCAAACGGTCGTCATCTTTCGACTGGTTTATTTAATAATCTTGTCCGGGTTGGCAAATGGTCTTGGTGTCCTGATGTAGCACAGTTTTTCAGCTGCAAGCTGTGGTTAGGCGAAGAGAAACAACGGAAATATTGAAAATAAGTGTTGGCAAATGTTCTACATAAGACTAGTGTTGGACAAGCTCGTTGCAATCTTTCACATTTACTAGACTAGCGGATACCCTGTGCCCTGTGCTAGAGTGTGAACATATCTGAACTCTGTTCGAGTGTTCCAGAAACACATCTCCCTTAGAGACGCTTCGACTTTATGTAATTAAAATTCTAGTACTTTCTAACTAAACACACACACGCAACATGTTCGATTCGCTTTCTTCTTCGATTCGTTCTTCGGCAGGCTCATCCTTGCGAAATACATAGGCGATTTACGATTTGCGAAGACGCCATCTTGAAAGCACGAAGAACAGAAGAAGAAGAAGAAGAAGAAAAAGAAAAAGAACAGGACACGCGACATAGCGAGAACGTTGTAAAAATTGCTGCCAGTGTTGTCTTGTATTTGATTTTCATTTTCATTTTCACTACGCAAACAAACAGTCGCTGCTCCCTTTGCCGCTGGCGCAGCTGCTGCTGACGTCGACAGCAGTTCAGAGAAGTTATCAGAGCAGTGCGAATGCGAGCAGCTTTTAATTATAAATAAATTGTTTGATTTTATTTGATTTCCGATCTAAATGACTTGGCAACACGCGCGCATTTTTTCGCATTTTGTCGTTTTGTCTCAAATACACACACACACACACACACGCACACAAACGCACTCGCAATAACAGTTAACTGATAAAAGCTGATCTCTTCGTCGCATCGCAACGCATCCATCTCTCTTCCCCTCTTGCGAGTGCTTGCTCTATTCTTTGCACGAGCGCAAAAAACCGTTACACGATTATCGCTTGGGCTCTTTTCGTCTTTGCGCTCTTCCCTCTTCCCGCAGCAGCACTTGGCACTTGCACAGAACTGACCAAAACGGTAAACTGCTAAATATTGACGCGTCGCCCCGACGTCTGTGCCTCTTTTGCCTCTTTCTTAGACGCACGCAAGCGAAAGCGAAAACGAAGGATACTGCAAACTTAAAGAAATGCCGGCATATTTGTCGCCTGTGTGCGTGTGTGTGTGCGTACACAACACACGGAAAGGGCTTTAAGTGTGTCTGTTTGTGCGTCTGTCTGTGTTTCTCAGTCGTGCTCTCGACTTGCTTCTTACTAGTTTTCTTCTATTGCTTCTAATTGCAATATGCATGCACATACCTACATACACACATACACATACACATGCAGATGCATACACACATACATCACTTGAATTCTATTTTACTGATTTCGCTTACACGAAACTTACCGTAACTGCGTATATGTTCCGTAGAGGAAATTAAATATTTAATCCAGATTTGTAACTGTTGCTTCCGCCTTTTATTTTTCCTTTCTTTCTTTCTTTTTTATTTTTTTTTTTGCACACTTGAAATTGTCGTAACAGAACAGCAGAAAAAAAAATATAGACACCCGAAAAAAAGTATTAGCAGTGTAAATTGACTGCTAGCAAGACAAAAAAAATATATATATATAAGTAATAATAGTATTCACACTAAAACTTTTACGTTGAGCCGCCGCGTAGTGTAATTCTTGCTGCTCCCTTTGAAGCTGCTTCTATGATGCTTGCAGCAGCGAATCGTAAGAGCGAAGAAGCTGCATCTATTGCTCTGCTCCGTCTATTCTCTTGCACCGTTGTACTTGAGACACACGCACATACACACACTCGCACGAGGAAGCCACTCGCAATTGGAGCTAACAATTGTCTCAACTTGTAGCGGTATTTATTATTATTATTTGTTTTTTTTTTTGTCGTAACTTCACATTCACTTTTTCTGAGCAGAGAAGCTTTGCTCGCAGACTTGCAGTCGAGTTAGTCGTAGGAATTGAAAGAATTTTGAGAAATGTCTAGAATTTTGTATTTCTGCTTATTTTTAGTGGCGTGTCCGAGTTAAAGAAATATTTTATTTTTATTTTTTTGCACTTGTAATTGATTTTTGGTACTCTCTATTTGTTTTTTGTTGTTTTTATTTTTTTTTTGTTAAATTAGTCCGACCGGAATTTTGTGGTTTCTGCTTATTTTTGGTAACTATAATTGTAATTGTTGTCGTCTTTGCCTAGTTATGAAATTTCAAATTATTTCATATTAATTTGATTTGTTTTTTTATTTTATTTTTTTTTTTTTGTTGGGCGGGAAACAGCCAAAACCTACAAAGACGAAGAGCCAACTACGCGCCGCACGTTCATCCGTGCCGGAGTCACAAATAAGAGTGTTCAGCATTTAAAGCAGATAACTCAAACTACAGAAATCGGCGTGCCCGATGTTGTGCCAGCACTATCAGCTGCTGTGTGTTTCTCTCCGAGCGTGGTGAGATGGTGAGCTTGGCGACGAGCGCTAGACATTGAGCAGAAATCGTTTAGTGTGAGTCGTGGTGTGTATTATTGTGTTTGCCTGCTTGTTCTATACATATGCACACACACACATACATACATATATGAATTGTGCCTTGGCTGACTCAATGTAGATTTCATTAAACAGCGTAACGCAAAAAGCTTCTAAATAGCTCACGTGTTTCGCTCTCAGTTAAGCTGGCGCTCTCTGTTTATTTACCTTTGTTTTTGGGCCCTGCCGGCCGGCCGGTCGGCCTGGCCAGGTTTTGAGTACAATTTTTATGGAGAGTAAACGCGAGCGCGAGCGTGAGCATGTGTGCGTGCATGTATTGTGCCTCTTGTTTGTTTTGAGTGAAATCGACGATGTCTGAGTTTTGTTTACAAAACAAAATGCGTTTTCTTGTTGTGATTGTAACGAAAATAAACAATAACAATTAGGTGAAATGTGCATATGCAAATGCATGTGCGGGCGAATTTCTGCTATAATTAAATATGCACATATACACACATACATACATACATATGCATGTATGCTTGTGCGTGTGTCTGCCCACATGCACACATGTAGGTGCTTGCGGCGCATTAACGCTGCGTGCGTGCGTGCGTGCGTGCGTGCGTATGCACACACACACACACACACACACGTGTAATTTAAGCTCCTTAGCGCTCCGCTCAACCCATCCCCCCTCCCCCTCCCCTCACACCACTCGCACATTCTAGTTGACAACTCCAATTTCAGTTTTAGTTTGTCAAGTTGATTGAACCCATGAACTTTGTGCGGCAGCTGAAAGCAAAAACCGCAACTAAAACACAACAAAAGCAACAGAAACAGAAGCAGACGCAGAAGCAGAAGCAGAAGCAGACGCAGCGCAAAGTGAATAACAAAATAAAAATGAAGAAACAACAACTTTATGCGATACCTTGAGGTAGGTTTCATATCTAATTAAATTATGGCCACCAAATGTGCAAGTCGAAGAAGAAGAAGCTCTGCTCGGACAGGCTCGACTAGGAGATATCTTATATATTCACCTAATGCACACACACACACACACACACACACATACATAGTATATGCATGTGAAAAGGAAAACTCTCTTTTTGAATCATTTTTGCGAGGGAGAAGGTTCGATATTTATCGATTTGTGGGAAACAGAATGAACGATATCTAGTTCTTGTTCTTGTTTGTTCTGGCAGATTCTTTATACGATTAATAACAAATTAAATCCATATACATGTGTAGATTATTGTTAAGAAACTATTCGATATTTCGATAGTTCGATATTTATCGATTTGTGGGAAACGGAATGAACGATATCTAGTTCTTGTTCTTGTTTGTTCTGGCAGTTTCTTTATACGATTAATAACAAATTAAATCCATATACATGTGTAGATTATTGTTAAAAAACTATTCGATATTTCGATAGTTCGATATTTATCGATTTGTGGGAAACAGAATGAACGATATCTAGTTCTTGTTCTTGTTTGTTCTGGCAGTTTCTTTATACGATTAATAACAAATTAAATGCATATACATGTATAGATTATATTTAATAAACTATTCGATGTTTCGATAGTTCGATATTTATCGATTTGTGGAAAACAGAATGAACGATATCTAGTTCTTGTTCTTGTTTGTTCTGGCAGTTTCTTTATACGATTAATAACAAATTAAATCCATATACATGTGTAGATTATAGTTAATAAACCAAAGCCAAACATAGCTTGATGAGTTCCAGATTCTTTAATTTTTGTTTTAGTATATTTCTGAAGTAGATTAAAATACCATCTGCAAAAGTGTTTAATCCTAGTATGTATTTTTCTATAATTTTTATTTTTGATTTTTTTTTGCGCTAAAATTCTTTCAATAAGTTAACTAACGATATTTATTATGTAAAAATAATTATTTAACATAATATTTTGTATTGTTTCCTAGTTTCGCTTCCAAACA